AGGGCAGTCTTGTTCTTGGAGACTTTATTAGCCAGTAAATGCAATATGATACATTTATAGGAGTGAAGACCCAAGCTTTCTGAACTTCATTGAGCCAGAAAGATGTGTTTTATTTCATGGAGTTTATGGAATGACTACAGCATAGGTAAGCTTTTACACAGCACCACATTGACTTGAGGTAATCATAAAATAAAAATGGGCAAGGAGACCCTTCAGGTCGAAGTATAATTTATATATACATTTACCCAATCCAATGCAATGACCCCATACCATCTGCTTTTAATTTTTGGTTTAATTTTTAAGCTCATTTGTTTGCTTTTTTGATGTAAAAGAAGTATGATTAACCTTTTTTTTTTTTTTTAAAAAAAAGGTACTTGCTGCTTTCCATAAAACTTGTATTATAATAAAATGCACTGACTATGGTAATGCTCATATCAGCAAAAAGTGACACAAGATAGCATTAAAAAGTCCTTCACTGTGACAAAATAAATCAGAATTGTGTGGTAAACCCTTTACAGCTTGTTATCATTTTGCTAAGAAAATAGAGCTACTGGTAACTTTTATATGGGGAAGCTGAACATAGGCTAGAAAGGTTTTCCAGATGATGCTAAAATCCTCAGCTATATTGATGCAGGTCTTCTATTTCTTGTTATGTCATGAATTTTGGAAAATAAACCTTCTGAGAGGGAAAAGGTAAACATTTTAGGATTGGAATGAACTCATATAAACTATCAAGAACAGATAAGGCATATAAATAGCAGGGTTAGAGAATTGTTAGATTGATGATAGATAGATAGATAGATAGATAGATAGATAGATAGATAGACAGATAGATAGATAGATAGACAGACAGATAGAGATAGAAGTTTCTTGTTAATTTTGAATCTTTTTTTACATTTATCATAAGCCAGAAAATTAGCTCAGTTAGTTAGTTGAAAGGAAGGGCACGAAGTAATTTAGGTGGTTGATTTTTTAAAAATATTTGTTAATATTTTTATTATTCAACTGCTTTTTCCATTTAGAATGGCAAAGACAAAGGTAATACTACTTCATTTATTTCTGCTCTCATTGTGCATTTTCAGCACACATGAGCCAAACAAATCAAGTCACACACACACAGCATGAGTCTCTCTGACTCCCTCCTATGTCTTGCCAAAGAAATGGTGGTCAAGAGTTGGATGTGCATTCAGTCTTTTCTACTGATTTCACGCATATGTATACATACCAGTACATATATTGTTTACATAACTAAGATCATAATTTATCTGTTATGCTTCAACCTGTTTTTCACTCAATATGCCATGAGCTCTTTTTAAACACGTCACCTTTTTTTTTTTTTTTAACTGGCTACATAGAATTTCATAGCATGGTTATATCATATTTCAGTTTTCTATTATACTACATTTATTTTCAGCGTTTCGCTGTTATAAAAGTGCTACAATGAGTATTCTTGTATATTACTTTTAAAAAAGTGACAGTGTTTCTCTGGGATAGCTTCCCAGAAATGGGACTGCTGAGTCAAATAGTCTTTTTAAAGTCTTATAGGTTTGACTAAATTGCCTTCCAAAAAGCTTATTTATCTTTTCATTAAACATATAGGCATACCTATTTTCTCACATCCTTGAAAGCTCCTGATATTATAAACATTTTTGTTCTATATTTCCAACTGTGTGAGTGGACATTTATATTTCATTATTGTTCTAATATTTATTTACTTAATTATATGGTCAATTTTGTGTTTCTTTATTTATTTAATAATTATGTTTTTTCCTGAATTGCCTATTCCATTTTCTTGTACATTTTTCTTTGGGGTTGTTTTTTCTTTATTGACTTGTTGATGCTTTTTATGTATTTTGAATATTAAGTCTCTGTTAAATATGTGTCAATATTTTCTTCCAGTCTGTTGCTTTTTTTTGAACTTTATTTCTGAATCCTGTTTTAGCATGTAACAATATTGCTAGCACTTAAAATTTCAAGAAAGCAGCTAACTAACTGTTTGTTCAGTTCACAAATTATTTAATTAGTTTTCATTTTACTTATTTATTCAGTTCCACATTAATTATTGTTTAAATAATTTTTAAACATAAGCTTGAAATTTATTTTATTCTGAGTTGACAAAAAGTACCTTTTAATTTTTTTCTCTTTATTTTAAATGTGTCCTTCCCTTTAGAATGCTATTTCATATTATCACTTTCATCTCTTAAATTTTGTCTTCTTTTTTTTTTTTTTTTTAAGAGATAGGGTCTCACTCTGTCACCTGGGCTGGAGTGCAGTGGTGCCATCACAACTCATTTTAACTTTGAACTCCTGGGCTTAAGCAATCCTCCCACCTCAGCCTTCAGAGTAGCTAGGACTACAAACACACACCACCATGCTGGCTAATTTTTGTATTTTTAGTAGAGATGAGGTCTCACTCTGTTGCCCAGGCTGGTCTCAAACTCCTGGCCTCAAGTGATCCTCACACTTCAGCTTCCCAAAGTGCTCAAATTATAGGCATAAGCCACTGTGCTTGCCCAAAATTATGTCTAAGTTTTATCTTCATGTATTTAGAGGAAATTATATCTATTTTTGGCATGTGAAAAGGTACCCCAAATATGAAAAGTTTACTTTAGCGCCTGTGGCACGCAGACCCTAAAGTGACCCCCAATGAACTCTGCTTTTTGGTGTCCACTCCCTTGTATAACGCCCTCCCTTTGAGTGTGGGCAGGACCTATGACTTGTTTCTAACCATTAGGACACAGCAGTGGTGATGGGATATCACTCCCATGATTACATCACATTATATAAGGCTCCAACTCACTAGCTCTCACTCTCATGCTGCTCATGAAGAAATAAGCTGGCCTGTTATGAGCTGCCCATGGAGAAGTCCATGTGGTAGGGAACAGTGGGTGGCCTCTACAACCTGAGGGCCTCAGTCCTGCAACCACAAGGGGATGAATTTTGCCAACAATCTGAAGGAGCTTGGAAGCAGATTTTTCCTCAGTCGGATCTCCAGATAAGAATGCAGCTTAGCCAATACCTTGATTGTAGCTTTGTGAAACTCTTAACAAAGGATCCAGATAAGCTATGTACAGACCCCTGAACCACAGATGCTTTAAGGTAGTAAATGTGTGTTGTTTTAGCTGCTAAGTCTGCAGTAGTTTGTTACACAGCAATAGATACCTAATATAAAACCCACATTTGAAATAGACATCATTAGGAACAAAAATAGTGAGGACTAGAGATTGAATTATTAGTTCTTTGGCACTGTAAATAATCATGTTAGAAAAATGTGCTGTGGAGTAATACATATAATATTATATGATACAGAAAATGCTCTTGTTTTTCTAGCTCTTAAAATGTAGTTTCAATATTTTGCTGTTATATTATTAATGTAATAGAGCAAATCATTAGAAACTGGGGAAAACTATTAGATCAAGCTTTAAAACTCCTGGAACTATATTGCATAAAACACCTAGAATGATTAATTATGAGTCTGGTTATTGGAATTTTACCTATGCAGACACTGAAACAAATACAGCGTCTACTCTAGAGCTTTCAAATGCACAGTTACTTATATGTTTCATAAATGAAGATCTAAGTGACTTTAAAAGTGAGAAAACAAAACCTTCTGTTCAGGAGGAATTTCTGAGTCTTCCATCACCATCCCTTCTCTGCCTTCCCCCTATTTGCAGTGGTCACTTCTGTGATTGTCTTTTATTTCACATTGTCCTTCTTTTCCTGTCTTCACTTTTTCCTTTTGCTCACCATTTTATGTAATCCATACATTGAGGTACTGCTTTTTTTTTTTTTAGGGTATTGACTAAGGATTCAACTTTAAAAAATGTAATATCAAATAATTATTTGGTCAGACTCAGTCGTTTTTCAGATTCAGCATGGTAAGAAGTTTGATTGCTAAACTGCTCAAAGATAAATGACTTTATTTCCTCGATAAATGACTTTATTTCCTCCATGCGCTGCAGACTCCTCTGAGACATGTATTCTGGTTCTTAGCTGTGTCCCTTTACAGTTGATTGAGTATAATGTGTTTATTTCAAACTTAATAATCATTGCCTTTTCCCAGCCTTCATTCTTGTCAGTTTTGATATGAGGCTTCTTTTCTATAGAAAGGTCTAGCCAGTGACTTCTATGCCACTTGACATCTTGGTCCTCACCATTTCCAGCTTTGCCAATGTTTGCAGGTATCTGAATAAATTTCCAGCTCATTTTCCAAACTTCACACAGCACTTTTCACTTTCTACTTTGCTTCATATTTCTGCACCTGTCTTACCTTCTATTATTAGAAGGCAGAATCCCATACTGCTGAGGACTGTGCTTTGCAAATAATAGGCCCTGGATAGATGACTAAGTGAAAGAAAAATTATTAGAATTTTTAAAGCACAGTTAATATGCTTTAATATGGATTTTGGATTTCAGAAATTGGTAGAATTATAAGAAAAAATGGGGAGGGGTCTTAGAATTTCCAGTTTTAAATTTTGCTAAGTAAATTTAGACAATCATTTACTATCATCATTATTTCATAAAATGCAGTGCAAAACAAAAATAGGGTTTATAAATGAAGTTCAACATGCACAAACAAAATTCAGAGGACATAATGTCAGGATGAAAGATTGAGCTTTTCTTAAAATCGATAGATCAACTTTAAAATGACTAGTATACTCTGTTGTCCTCTTTTCTCATTTTGCAGCAGACAGCTGAAATCTTTGTGTTGTACTAGCAGAGTCTATATGTTTTAAAAATCACTGAGCTAGTCTAACCTTTCACTCAATACAATTATCCTCTTTAAACCACCGTGGGTAAGATCTGCTTGTTGTATATCCAACTGTTGGAAAGCTTCCTGTCTCTTGCATGTGACTAGTAGTGGGTGGAAGCGAACCAGGTGGACAGATTCATGTAGCCAGCATCACTATTTGATGCAGAGCTGTTCCATCACCACAGAGAAACTCGCTGAGGTACCTCTTTACATTGTACATTTTAAATCATTTATTTTATTTAAACAGATTTTCAGAAGGTGATGGATGGGATATTCTGAGAGTTGGAAGGCGGGCTTTGAGCCACAGAGAGCCACTGCAACATTTGAAGATTCTGGTGATGATGCTGACTGCCTGGCCACCTAAGAGGAAGAAAGGTTTGCCAACCCTTCTCTCATGCTCACAGTCCATCTCCCATCACCTTTCCCGCTTTTAATGCCCTTTCCCTGCTTTTTTTATCCAATAAATCTTTACTGAACACTATTATGTCTCTATAAACTTAGAAGCTAGGAATGAAAAGATGGAAAATGAAATCCCTGCCATCCATGATTTTCAATTGAGTAACAAGACAGAGACCTACACAATGAGCCACATGCAAGGAAAGGGATGTAGTGCCACAGAAGCATTGAGAAAGCAACTGATTCAGACAGGACAATTTTTACACGTGAAGTGACATCTGAGCTGTTCCTTGGAAGAAAAGGGAGAATCAGGAGAAAGGGCGTTTAAGCAGTGGAAACAAAAGCTATAAACACCGGGAGTGAGGAGCATGCCCTGCAAGCATGGTAAGTGGTCTCCTGCATTAGAACAGAGGGTTACAGGAGGGAATGTGGCTGGAGAGATAGGTGGGGGCTGGATCACAAAGGGCAACAAACGCCTTGCCAAGGAGTTGGGGCTAAGCAGTTGGAGGCCATCAAAAGATTTTAAGTAGGGATGTGATATAATCACATTTTTTCCCCTAAAAATAAAGACAATAAAGACCATTCTGGAGTTAGTGTGGAGAATGGATTAGAAGGGTGAAAGACTGGAAACTGGAAGATCACTTTAGAGGCTGACTTTCACAATAGCCTCTTCCCTCTAGGAAATAAACTCATCTACCTCCTGGTGAGGTTCAAATTAGGAATAAACGGGTGAGTTCTTTTTTTTCTTATAAAAACCAAACATGAAAGTGGAGATGCCTCACTACAACTAGTGCTTTAATTGCAATTTCTTACGGAAAGGACAGTTCTAAAACCTGCAAGTAACTGAAATTTGATTTTTTTGTCAGATAACTTTTGCTGGGACCTCTTGTATTCAAGCATCTTCATGGGCACTTGGGAGAAAATACTCAAATGCCATGTGAGAATCTAATAAAATTATTCTTTTTTGCAGTAAAAATAGCACTTCTACTAAAGTGCTGAAAGAATGATTATTTTTAAGCAGGAGGAAAAAATGGAGAAGGAATCCTTTAGTTTCAGCTGGAAAGCCTGACTGTCGTTGCTTTTCTACTACTCAATAGCATTGCGTTTCCTTGCATTTATTTGCATCTACCTCTCCAGCTGAGCCACAATAAAAAGCACCTACCTCAAATACCTAGCACTAATGGCTTAATTTGACAATTTGTATATGGTATTCTTTTATTACCCTTTAGGACCTTAATAATTAGTTTTTCTTTAGTGCAGTATTAAAGCATTAAAGGTCATAAATTCCACAGTCACCTGTATCCATTTATTGCTAATTTATTATAGAACATATCATAAACTTTCCTTGACATATAGGCCTCTTCATAACTATAAATCTTTTTTCAACTGTTTAGATAACTTATGCTTAAGTTCAAGAAGAGACCTTGAGGAGCAAATATTTAAAACATGTATTTATTACACATAATGGAGCAGGGTGGATAACTATGTGAAGTAATCATTTACCTTCAGTATATTTATCACTTCAAACTCTTATAAAGATAAATTTGTTTTCAAGAGGGAAAAATGTTAAATGTCAAGTAGCTGTTTTCCTAAGTGCTTTAAAATGTCCAGCTGAATAAAGCCATCTTTCTAGTTAGGATAGAACACCAAAAAAGGTTTCTAATGAGATTAAATTTGTCACTAGTAACCTCAGTTAAGCTTAAAAACTTTGCAAACTTGATAGTTGTCTCTTCAGATGGCAAATGTATCATCTTAGTTGGTAGAGGGTTGTTTCCTGTGTTTCAACTATGGAAATAACACGTTGTAAAAAACTCACAGTTCCTGAATGCATTTACCTTACTGCTTAAACTTCTGTATGGATGCATATTTGTGGCCCACATATATTCAAAAAGGGAGAGGAGAAAATCACCTTGCTGGAAAATCCATTTGTTGAATGAGTAATTTGCTGAAAATCACATTGCTTTCATTAATGTTGTCTAATATAATCAGTAACCATGATGCATGAGATAGTTGCAACACTCATAGGGACCTTTTTCTCAAAGCTTTCATTGAGCTTTAGTTTTCTGCAGGCCAGTGGTTAGCCAAGCTAGACTATCACAGGTTTTATCATACTCTGACTTTGGGAAATCAAAAACTTTAAAGTGAATATTTTCAACTACAAATGTAATTGTATTCAGTGTCTAATGATTTATAAACAATGGGATGGGTTTTTTTCCAACATACTTTTAGTCCAGCCTTCTGCAGTTTTCTTAATTTACCAATTAATCAACCCAATTCAATATGAACATTTTTATGCACATTTTAAACATTTGAGAAGTGCCCAATGTCTCAAATATTAAATGCACATGAACTTAACATTTAACTGAACTGACAAGTCCACTACAAATGACTAGAGTGAAAAGAATACAGCAAAACTAAAGCTAAACTAAAACCAACACTTTGATAAACTATTGAACAGTTCAGCCACACAATTTGCTGAAATCTTGCTTTCTAACAGGGGCTATGTCTTCTTGATAGCATGTTCTACATGCAGCAGTGAAGTGAAGATTCTGAGAAGGGATTACCATACCTACTGTAAATAGAACTTCAAATTTGAAATACATTAGCTATAAAGAATTATGCAAGAAAGAGTAAAATTTTTGCAAATCCCTGAGGAATGCAATAAGATGAATAAAGACACAAATGTAAAATAACTAGAAAGATACAGGAGCTACCATATTGTGAATTCAATTCTGGCCTCTAACTGATTAAAAACAATGAGTTGAAATTGCTATAACCACTTGGGAAATTGGTGAAATAATCTTTAAAAATGCTAAAGAGTCTGTTGAAATAGAAAATGGCATCAAAATCATTTTGAAAAATTGGTAGTGTATTAGTCTGCTTAGGATGCCAGAAGAGAATACTACAGACTGGGTGGCTCAAACAACAGTTTATTTTCTTATAGTTCCTGGAGGCTGGAAGTCCAAGTTCAAGGGGCCAGTAGGGTTGGTTCCTGGTGATGCCTCCCATGCAGCCCTGTGAATGGTCTGCTTTCTCTCTCTCCTTCCATGGTCTTTCCTCTCTGTGTGAGCATTTCTGATGTGTCTTCAGCATCTTATAAGGACACCAGTTCTAGTAAATTAGAGCCCCCCATTCTTTTGAGCTCATTTAACCTTAATTACCTTCTTAAAGGCCCTGTCTTCAAATACAGTCACCTTGGGGATTGGAGCTTCAACATACAAATTTGGAGGAGACACAGTTCAGTTCATAACAGTATGAACTACAAAATTCCTATGTAAGTTAAAAGTCATAAATCCTGCAGTTACCTGTGTCTATGTACTGATTTATTATGAATTGCTAAAAATTTTGGTTCCTTTCCTGAATATTAAATATTATTCATAAGACTGAATAGTTTTATGATCTCTAGCTTTTGACAAATTTAACTCTCCTGTTAAGCTATAAAAAACATCTCTGATAAATCACCATCCCTGTGATCAATTTACATAAACTTCATGCTGCGCAAAATCATCAAATTTCAAGTAATTTTAGTAAATTTTATAAATTTGGTAAATTGGTGATTCAGAGACTTTTTATTATTTATAAATTATTCAGCCATAGAAAACCATGCTAGGAATAGTCATAGTCTCACCAATATCACAATTGGCAGTAGAATGGTCTTGTGTATGGTGATGACAAGCTAGAAGAGGTCTCCAGAATTCTTTGGATATCATTTTAAACATTCCTAAGGGCTGAATGGTCCTAAAACTATGAAGGAATGCAAGATTTCATCAGGTCAGATAGAAAATACATTCGCAAATATAAGGCCTTCATCAGAGCCAAAGGTCTTTAGAATTCGACACATCCTAAAAGTCAAAGAAACGCAAAATTCAAGCAAGGGTTCAAACTAGAAAAGAGTTACAGGTCTCTGTGAGTAGACAAAGAACTAGGCAATGTGAACTCTGAGACCAACTACTTTCACATTAAAAAACTTAATAGCCTTTTTGATACATAATTCTCTTACCATACAATTCATCCATTTGAAATATACAGTTTACTGGTTGTTAGTATAGTCACAGATACGTGCTACCATCACCACAGTCAGTTTTAGAACATTTTCACCTCAAAAAGAAATCCTGTACCCTATAGCTACCAGTCCCCTATCACTGCATCTTTTCCCCCCAGCCCTAAGTCACCACTAATCTGCTTTCTGCCTCTATAAACTTTCCTGCTCCAAACCTTCAAATGAATGAAGTCATATAATATGTGATCTTTTGTAACTAACTTATTTCACTAAGTGTGTTTTCAAGGTTCATCTATGTTGTAGCATGTATCAGTACTTCCTTTTTTTTTTTTCTGGCTTCTTTTTAAGATTTATTTATCTTTGGTTTTCTGTAGTTTCAGTATGATATGCCTAGGTGTATTCTTTTTGGCATGTATTCTACCTGGTGTACTTGGAACTCCCTGGATCTGTAGTTTGGTGTCTGACATTAATTCAAGGAAATTTACAGTCATTATTGCCTCAAATATTTCTTCCATTCCTTCCTTTCTTCTCCTGCTGCTATTCCCATCATGTATGTGTTACATTGATAGTTGTCCTACCATCCTTTGATATTCTATTCCATTTTTTCAGTCTTCTTTCCCTTTGCTCTTCAATTTTGAAAGTTTGTATTGACACATCCTCAAGCTCAGAGACTCTGCTTAGCCATGTCCAGTCTACTAATGAGCCCATCAAAAGCATTCTTCACTTCTGTCACAGTGTTTTGCCCTCTGTCATTTCTTTTTGATTCTTTCCTAGAACTTCCGTCTCTCTGATTACATTATCCACATGCTCTTGCGTTTTGTCTACTTTTTCCATTAGAGCCCTTAGCATATTAATCATAATTGTCTTAAATTTCCAGGCTGATAATTCTGACATTCTTGCCATATTTGAGTCTGGTTTTGATGTTTGCTCTATCTCTTCAAACTATGTTTTGGGGTTTTTTTGGGGGTTTTTCTTTTTT